TTGCAGAAACAACAAAACCGTGCTATGAGATTCATTCTTGCTAAACGCTATGACACCCCTATCAGAGATATGCTATCTACTCTAAACTGGCTGAGCATTAAACAACAGCTGTTTTATTATACAATGAAATTTATCAAGAATGTTATAGATGGCAACTTACCCGATTACTTGAAAAGCAACATTAAGTATGTCAATAATGTACATTCCATAAATACTCGTAATAGAAATGACTTTAATCTACCTGCTTACAAAACCGAAGCAGATAAATGTAACTTGTATTACAAAGGATTAAAATGTTATAATGAATTGCCAAATGAGGTTAAATCCAGCCATATGAATGAATTCAAAAAAAAAAAATTTATTATTGTAGGAGCCTTCCAATTTAGTGATACATGGGCAATCTTCCGGTCTAACAATCGCAATGCACATGCGTACAAAGTATACTGTTTCCCCACGCCAACATGGTTATACCGGTCCCAAACGCATCCGTAAGCCGAAGCTCATCCCGAAACGCATCACTAGATCGAATTCAGTGCATCGCTGTTTGGATGCTTGCTTCGCACTTCATATGCATAAACGGCTTTTATACCATAGCATGTATTGATACGATTCGGAATTTGGCCACATTTTTCATCACTAAAATTGGTTGCTCATATTAGTAGCTTATACTGTATATTTTAGGTAAGGCTATAACGAGTATGTTTTAAGAATTATGTATAAATTAGGCTTAATAAGCTGTAAGAAATAAATAAAATAAAATAAATAAAGATCAGATGGAGAAGGACTTGGTTTCACTTGGCATTTCCAATTGGCGTCAGTTGGCACAAAGGAGAAACGACTGGCGTGCTTTGCTGAACTCGGCCGAAATCGCTTAGGCGGTTACAGCGTCAAATAAGAAGAAGAAGCTTACAAAGTTAAACCACGATTGGAAAATCTTATTTTTTCCCACTGAATATCGATATTTCCATCGGATATGCAATATCGCGAACTTCGTCCCTTATTCTGTTTGCGTATTTGTACGAATTATATACTTGTGACCCAATTGAAGAAAAGGTTTCCGGTTGAACGTTATCCACTTTGGCGTATAGTAGCATTGTTGTTTTTGTTGTCGTTAGGTAATTGTGCAAAGCGCAGCATACCAACACCGCAAGATCAACCGTGCTTGGTAGCACCTCAGTTGGCCTTTGGAATATGTTAAACCGTTTAGCCAGTCTTCCGAACGCACACTCCACGACCATTCGGGCGCGACATATGTAGCCTGTAGTTATAGATCTCTTGCGGCACAGTCAACTTAACGTTACGATTATATGGCTTCATTAAGTTTTTATCTATTCCAAACGCATCGTCTCCTATAAAATAATAAGGGATTTTAGTGCCCTGTCCGGGAACAAATTCTGATGGGTTTGGAATATTTAGTGAGCCATTTTTCAGTCCGTTGAAGAGGTAACCCTCTTGATAGATTGTGCTATCTGATGCTTTTCCATTGCAGCCCACATCCGTGAAGAGAAATCTGCCATGCGCATCTACCAAAGCAAATAGGATGACACCAGAGTTGGGCAAAATTTATTCGAATGAAGAATAACAAATGAATAAATTGTTTTTCTTGTTATTCGTCGAATGACGGATAAATTATTTTATTCGTTATTCGAATAATTATTATCTTCATTAATTATTCGAATAACGAATAAAATAATAATAAAACAAGTAATTTATGTATATAGATATGTACATATATTTATGTATAAAATGATAACCGTTCTCGTTGTTGCGATTTAACTCAAACCCCTAGATAGATTTAAGTCAAATCTTCGGAGGTTATTCCATGCGCATAAAGTCCTATTAAAGGCTACTAGAAAACTCCTTGGTGGCGATGGAGCCGAGTTATTTATAAAAGCCGTATTTATAAACTGATTTCGTTCAAATTCAAAATGTGTTCTTCCTGCATGATGAAAAATACTAATACGAATACGAATGAAGAATAACAAATGAATAAATTGTTTTTCTTGTTATTCGTCGAATGACGGATAAATTATTTTATTCGTTATTCGAATAATTATTATCTTCATTAATTATTCGAATAACGAATAAAATAATAATAAAACAAGTAATTTATGTATATAGATATGTACATATATTTATGTATAAAATGATAACCGTTTTCGTTGTTGTGATTTAACTCAAACCCCTAGATAGATTTAAATCAAATTTTCGGAGGTTATTCCATTCGCATTAAGTCCTATTAAAGGCTACTAGAAAACTCCTTTGTGGCGATGGAGCCGAGTTATTTATAAAAGCCGTATTTATGAACTGATTTCATTCAAATTCAAAATGTGTTCTTCCTGCATGATGAAAAATACTTATGCGAAAAATGGACCCGCTAGGTGGCGCTACAGTTGAGTTATTTAGAAAATCCCTACTTATTGTACAATCAGGTTGCAATTCATAATGGTGCTGCAGTCGAAATCTCTAGAAACCCCATATGTCTGGACTCCTTTGTTTTTTATGTTTATATTATACGAATTTACGATATCCCACGTCGTCATATACCCTAAATGCGACCTTGCATCTACCTCCGCTTGATGAAATTGCTCGGGCGGCCATTGCTGCAGCAGTAAGACTCAAGGAAACCAGCTCTTGGAGATTTTAAAAGTGGCGAATCAGCAAGGAAAGTTTCGACCACATCCTTCCAATTCCTATATCAAATGCCAATTTTTACATCGAGGACGGACATCTGTGCTCTTCAGCATCCTTATAAGGACTTTTGTTGGCCTACATGACATAAGGCTAGAGGTTGACGCATCGGACAAGATCATAGAAGAAGATTACGCACGCTTAGAAAAGATCTCACAAGTGGAGGTAAAGCTCATGACATTGAAAGGAATTTTTTCTTGCATATAGCATCAGAGCGCTATTTTTTTGGCAGAAATATGTGTGAGAATTTTTACTTTACCCATAATTGGTTTTCAACGCTATTCTTGCATTGGCCAACGCAAAAAATCTTATCAGGGGCCGCGAAACCATAGGGAATGGGCTAGTATTCTTGATAAAATAGTAAACAAAATTCAGCTAACTTACAATCCTTGACAATAGAAATAAAAGTAAAAGGTGGCTCAATGTGTTAAAAATTAGTTTTTATTCATTATTTAAAATAACGAATAAAATAACGAATAAATTATTCGCAAGCAATTTATTCACGAATTATTTATTCGTGAATAAGTTATCTGCGAATAATTATACTACGGATAAAATTTTATTCGAATAATTATCTAAATAACAATTGATTCGAATAATGCCCAACTCTGGATGACACTATAAAATCCCTTGAAATTATAGAATTGTGTTCCAGTTTTTGCTGGGGCTTTTATGCGAATGTGCTTCCCATCTAGAGCACCCATAGTATGCGGAAATTGCCACAATTTGTCAAATGCTGAACCAATATCCAACCACTCGTCTTCGGTTGCTGCAAGAAGCAAAGAAACAATTAATAGCATTAAAAATATGTATATTGAGCCTAAACTGTTAAATTATATTATTTAAATTTGTCTTCAGAACATCCTATATGAGTCAATTTATGTGGATGACGCAATAACTTCCAAGTCTTTTGATTCTGACATCTGCACTCCGTCGTCTTCGCGGAAAAGGAAACATGAAGATGAAATAAATACAGACAAATTCGATGAAGCTATTGACAAAACTGTCAACATCAGTAAACCCACAGTTGATGCTTTTAGCACTTTCGCAGAGAGCATGGCAATGACGCTTCGTGCCATGCCCGAAGAAACTGCTTCTCTAAGGGCCGGTTGCTCAAAGCTTGGTTGACACTAATCCCCGGTTAGACATCGTTATCGACGTTACCGACACTGTGTTATATGCATGGAGTCGAAAACGTCGATAACGATGTTAACCAATGATTAGTGTCAACCAGGCTTTGAGCAACCGGCCCTAACTATGAAAGAAATACTAGACTTAGGGCCGGTTACTCAATGTCTGGTTAGCACTAATCTCCGGTAAAACATCGTTATCGACGTTACCGACTCCATGTTATATGCATGGAGCCGAACACGTCGATAATGATGTTTAAACGGAGATTAGTGTTAACCAGACATTGAGTAACCGGCCCTTAGTGTTCCAACGTACGGAGTTCGAAATAAGAGTAACAGCAGCCACACATGGTTCGGACATACTGTACATAGCAATGTCAGATGCAGAAATAGATCCACTGATCAACGAGGATTCGTTTTTGTATTAAAAATAAATAAATAAACTTAAATACATATCGTCACCGATAACTTCGCCTACTATCCGGCAAGGCGAATTAATATAAGGTAATAGCAGGAGTACAAAAACAAAAATTTACATGTATTTTGTTTTTGCTTTGGCGGCATAAACTGTCAAAATCTGTAAGAGTGTGTGTAGAAGTTCAAACAAAATTTTTCAATTTTATATCAGAAGCCGTGCGGCGAAACACATGCACAAAATCAGCAGAGCTAGTAACACCACCTTATATAAATTCGCCTTGCTATCCCGGCATGTTCTGCAAATCGTACGATTTCAAATCGGTGCGGTTTGCAAAGTATCGTTGTATATTTGTAATCAAAGTATTAAATGTTTCAAATGGAAACTGCTGGAGACACATCATTTACCTTATATCCATCGATTTAGCACCAAATTTTTCCCTCTTCGTTATAAATCCTCCGAAATAGATTTTGTAAATCGTACCGATTTGAGATCGTACGATTGCAGAACATGCCTGTATATGCATTTTTTGAAATAAAATTTCACTATCGATATCTGAAACAGATAGGTACGCATACTATTTTCTATTCTTATTCAACTACCCAGCCAGCAAGAAAACGTACATTTTACGAACATTATGTTTTACGAGGGATTCTCGTACCGCCAAAAAGTTAGAGAAAAGCTCGTAAACGATAAAACAAAAAAATATAATAGAAAGAGGCTTGTAGTAATTTGTCAGCACAAGAAAAAATTTTAGTTTTGTTGACAATTTTTCTTCAATCACAATATTTTATAAGTAAGTAGTTTGTTAAATATTCAATTTAAGAAAATTATTAAGTATGTGATTTATTGGCAGACTGGTGCAAACGCAAAGGACGATCTACCACCTTCTTTTATAATTAAACTTCTTGTAAGTAGCTACTACATATGTAATTCAAAAATACAAATTAATTTAACGAGTTTTGCAATTCTTTCACAGGCTGCGCGGAGCAACACTAAAGGATTTAAACGTTTAATTCCCCTATAGCGCTATTGGTTTGGCAACGACTGCGGCAATAAGAAGTACGGATAATAATATTATTTATTACCACTTTTTACTTAATTAAATTTTCCGATTTCCAATGGAGTTTAATCTTTCACTTTATTTTCTTAGGTGCTTTTCGTCAAAAATTTAACTCCGACGAAGAAGTTTTTATTTCCGTTTCAAAGAAGCACTTCCAATATGCACACTACCGGCAAAAAAATTTTTAATATTTATTTATCTGAAAATATCTTCACATATATAGTGCCGGGAAAAAATATTGGCACAGAGAATTTTCGCCATGAATGCAAAGTTTTTTATTTTGATTTCTTCTCTAATTGTTTTTTATAAAAATATAGTTAGTATGAAGTTCTACTTTCAAATCAGATTTTTTAGAAAAATTCTAAGTATGCAGTTTTATAGCCCATTTAATTTTAGTATAATAAAGTGCACGCTTGAATAGCTAGAAAACCTCTTTGTTTTTTGACAATTTCTTATACGCAGTTTCTTCCATAAAAAAAAAAAATGTCGCACATAATTTGCATGGAAGAAACTGCGTGAAAAAATTGCCAAAAATCAACGCGGTTTTCTGGCAACTTCAAGCTTGCACTATGTTATACTAAAATATAATGGGATATAAAACTGCATACTTAGAATTTTTCTAAAAAATCTGATTTGAATGTTGGTCTTCATACTAACTATATTAAAAAAAATGTGCGAAAAGAAATTCAAGTAAAAAACTTTGCATACATTGCGAAAAATTCTCTGTGCCAATACTTTGATCCGGCACTATAAATATTTATTAATTATAATTCCATTCAATAAAAGAACTACAATAATTTGAATTAATTGATTGCCTTTATTTTTAGCATTCAAAAACAGTAGATAAAGCAGTGTAAAAAAAACACTTTTTTAACGTAAATTAATCGTTTACGAGACTCGTTTACAATTAAAAAACGGAGGTAAAAATATTCGAATACGAATGCTTTTTCGATCCGTTTACGACTGTTCGTAGGCGATGCACAATTTAAAGCGAAAAAGTGCTCGATAAAGCGTCGTAAACGGCTATCATAAACGGTTTTTAATCCGGTTTTTCTTCGAGAATATATCCAATTACGAGCTTGTTTACGATGATTTTGCTGGATTTTGCTACAAAACTAAAATTTTTTCTTGTGCTGACAAATTACTACAAGCCTCTTTCTATTATATTTTTTTGTTTTATCGTTTACGAGCTTTTCTCTAACTTTTTGGCGGTACGAGAATCCCTCGTAAAACATAATGTTCGTAAAATGTACGTTTTCTTGCTGGCTGGGAAGCTCTTTTTTAAAGTCAGAGCAATCAATTTTATTAAAATTAAAACATGCAGTTGCAAACAGAAGCATATTTAAAGGTTGTGAATAGCGAATTTAACATTTCTTTCGAATTACATTAATATTTGACGGTAAAATATGTTTTGTCGACATATGCTATTTGGTATGTCCGTGAAAGACAGACATAAGTTGGTTTGTCAAATGTCCACAGAATTGTTTATATAATGAATTCAATGTTTCTTTATTAAACCATTAATTGTAAACATAAGAAACTGATATCCGCTCTTGTTCAGAACACGAGCGATGAAAGTTCTTTACTTTGGCAAGCATGCTGAACGAACGTTTAGCACTAGCTACTGGGTACGGTTTCATAATTTGTACAATGATTTTGGGTTTTTGTGTCCAAACGCGTGACTCGAATGAAAAAACTTTAACATACACGTGTAGTCAAAGTATTAAGTTTTAATTTAAAATAAAGATTCAAATTTCCAATACTAAGTTTTTAATAAATTTGGTAAGATGTTCTGTGTAAAAATACTGTGGATAGCATAACCGGAGTGTATATTTTCTATGTCGAAATGATTTTACCACATTTTGTGAGGTTGTGCTGCACATGCGTGTGTAAATACGAACCCTGGTAGTAAGTACCCTTACTTTTAAATATTCGGGCTGCAAGGTTTCATAGATAGCACGTAGCACGCCTAGAACAAAGAGGCTAATGGTGCTCTTTGAAACACGCGATAGAAACTCCAAAGATTTGTATGAATTCCCTGTTGCCAAATACCTTAGCGTTATAGCCAATTTCGTTCTTGGTGTAATGGCATCCCGCTGCTTAGTGTCTGCCTTCTTCAAGCAGTTCATTTACCTAATTTTATATACAAATAGTTTAACCTTTTTTCGGTATTAATATGCATGTATGTGCGTACATACCAAATGCAAAATTTCTTCAAATTTGTCCACCGAAATACGAGTGAAATTTCGGAAATCCTTCTCATCGTCGCACATAGGGGTATTTGATCGATCTAGGCGGTCATAAGTCTATTTTTTTAAACTTATCTTAGGAACAAAAAAAAATACTACCTCCACAGTTGAATAGTTGCGGAACAATAGGCAACCCCTACCCCGAACTTATGACGCCGCTTTGACGGAGTATCTCAGTCGGAACTTGTCAGTTTGTGATAGTGCACGTTTTATTTTACGACATTCATTGTGAAACAGTTGCGTTCAAAAGTGATTATTATTATTGTGGTCATTATACAATTAAAAATTGTTATGAAGTCTGAAGACACAGGTAAATCTACATTTTTTTTAAATAGTTTCGATTTAGCAAAATTTAATCTACGTAATAATATCAGTAATCGGAAATATTATATTTTTTTAGTGATTATTTTTTCATTACTTTGTAAACCGTAAGCTTTTAGTTATACTTCCACGCATTTCCACGTTACATTACTAGTTGCGTTGATATTTTTTTGAGCTCAAGGCCGGGTTGAAATAAAACAATCTGTTTTTGTTGTTTTTAAATCGTCTATATTTCGACTTCAGTCTGAAGTCATCATCAGGACTGCAATAAATATCTTAATTACAAAAATTGCATAAAAGACTATCAACATACTGTATATAAGCACAACTTACACATTCGGCTGCGCCTGGTAGACTAATGTGTGCAAAAATCAAAAGATTTAACAAACCAAACAATGAGGCGAAATGGACATAAAAATATAAACAAATGAAAGAACAGTAATTGTAAACAAAAAATCATACAAACATTGCATTGGACGGCACACAGTAGTCACATTTGACGCCCACGAAGGCATCAGTGAGGCACTTAAAGATAAACAGACGCAAGTGCCGCCTAAAGAAGATGATAATAAAATAAGCATTTGGCCGTTGCCATAATCCAATGGCAAAATTAAAGAATATTGATTTCTATAAACAAAAATTAAAAGCTGCAAATATTATACTATGATGAGTAGCAGTATAATATTTGCCAAGTCTTAATGTTTACACAGCTGCATCCGCAATAGATGCATCGATCTAATTTCAATACTGAATTCCAAGCTTTATTTATGCTTGCATACATATCTACATTCGCGATGGATGCATTGATTCAGTTTCTGAATCTTTGTGGCATATTCCCGCTTTCCCGCTGACCTTGCTGACTCCTTGGGATTCGAGTATATAAAGTCGATGTTTAAAAGTTTGAGTTGAGTCGTATTCTGATTACCTAAAGACATGTTAATAAAATTAATAAGCTGAAGTTTTAATAAAGAAAAGTTTAAGTTAATAAGTTGAAGTTTTAAATAAAGGACTTAAACAAAGTAACAATATATAATTACTAATAAGTTGAAGTTTTAATAA